CTACATATCATACAATTGCCTTTAAAAAAATATATTTCTACTAGTTTTTTTTTCATCCTTGTTTCATCACAACACAACTGATCTCCTGCACCCCCATTGCAGTTACCTCCATGACATTTCTCAGGGTGGTTTTCCTGATGGTGACAACAATGGACTATGCCTGTGCTATGTGTGTCGGCTTGGCCAGTTGTAGTCTTCTTCAGAAACCTATGTGACAGGAGTACAACTGGGAGACATGGACAGATGTCACCCTAGAACAGGAAGTGGCTGAGCCAGTACCTTCAAAATAGGATCACCAGATATTATTTTAATGAAATTTACAGATTTTAAAATATTGAACATTACTTTTCAATTTCATTTCATGTTAATGCTTATAAAATAAATTTTTGATTGAGTTTACATATACTCTGCAGCAAAATTTTGCTCACTTACATTAATATTTTGGATTTCGGTATGAATTGGCTTTCTCAACTGGCATCATTATAATACAGATAGATAACAACATACACAACATTTAATGAGCAGATCTTTATCAATACCCAATGTAATTGATTGCGAAAGTATGTATACCTCTACAATAGACATTTTAAAGAGTGCATAATAGGTGTCAGGTATTTCCATTAGTGAGTCAGATTTTCCAGTCAATTTCAGATATTTACTTTATTCATGTACTATGTTTAGGACTAAAATAAGAAAGTGTTTGGAAATATATTTATTCTATAATAGGTAAATATGAAATATTTCATGTAAATATTTCATACTTACTCCTTTAAAGGTGGGGAATGTGTCTGGTACTCCAGAGTTTCACAGAATTAATTTACTATTATGCTGAATAACAGGATCTCAGATTGCACACACAAAGCTGAATGGGTCAGCTACATAACTAAGGAGAGGGACGCGTCTTCCTCTTCTAGTAGAGAGGGTGTCATCTACACCTTTGGTCTGTAGGAATACAGCTAGTGCTGGGTATTCTCTTAGACAGCTCACCATGAGTTGCACACACTGAAGCATTCAAAAATTATGTATTGTCTGTTTACCTGTAAATATACAACAAATTGTTCTAAAACATGTAAAGATGAATTTGTAAGTTAGTTTTCATAGATGACTGAACGTCTCAAATCCTACCAATTATTCAACTGATCTATCTTCTTTATCTGCTTTGCAGTGTAGAAACCTGCTGTTAAAAATACATTTCTCACACTGGACTTTTATAAGGTTATTTTTTCTTGAAAAACATTAAAAAATATCTTTATTGAGTTTCCACATACATCGCAATCTTTTATTTTTTTAAATTGTAATTTTTATAAAATTACATAAACCAAGAACAATACATTAACTCTGTGTAGAAGCATCGGAATATGAGCAGCAGAAGAACAGTGACCAAAACAGGCTAAATAACAAATAGATACAGAACGTTATGCCATAGAGGACACTCTTAATAAACATATAAGCAAAGTAGTATTATTAGATAAGCAAAGATATTATAATGTCATAATATAGTGCAGAAACAAAAAGCAGAAAGAAAGAAGAAATAGAGAGAGGAAAGAGCAGATATAGTAGTAGATAGACAAGAAGAGGAAGAGAAAAAGGAACACGGCTGGTCGAACTCAAGGCACCTGCAGAAAGAAAAGGGGAGAAAGGAGATTGCTCTCCAAAACTAGAAAAGAAAATATGCTTCACTTCACCTCATGGGCTAATTCTCAAGCATCCCATGGTTCCCAAACTTTATTGATGAACACTAAAGTGTTGTTTACTGAAGCCACCAAAAACTCCATGGGGGTGATTTACTAACCTAAACACACGCACGCACCAGGCGCGTGTGATTTTCACACAGCAAAACGTATTTATCAACCAAAAAGTCTCTAAAAGCATATTTCCACTAATGCCATATATGGAAAAATCATGCACATGATGCATATATAATGCTGTTTCACAGTTTAGACAAAAATGGTTAACTCATGCATTTACATTCCTGCATTCATCAACACAAGTAACACAACATAGAGCTAATTTACACAACATCACCTTGTAATTCATGCAGGGCTTTGCACAACACACCTGCTGGGTGTGTACACACTACAAAGGTGTTTAGATTCCACCCATAGATCATGCTGGGAGGGAACACACTACAGAGGTGTATACATGTTCGTGGTGTGTTTATAAGGTTAGTAAATCAACCCCCATATGTCTTACCGCTTTGATATGGCCATAGAAATTCAGGGAAGATGGAGGTACAGGTTTCTTCCGATGTAACGCAATTACATTTTGTATTGGTTGTCTTTATAAAGCGAACAGATGAAAGGATTTGCCTGCTGCATGGCAATTCTATTCCCACTGGTCATGTCCAATCTCATGGCCAAGAAACCCCTCCCATTTACTCGTATAAGAATGCTCAAATGGGGTAAGAAGAAGTCTATAGATGATGGAGATTAGACCCTTGGACAACGGCTTAGTACTACACATGATCTCAAAGGGTGTGTGAGCAGTGAAGTGCGATGTTAGAGAAAAAGATTGAGCAAAATGCCAATTTGAAGATAGGAATACAGCGCTTTGGATGGAAGTTGAAATCTATGTTGCAAAGTGGGAAAAGGAAGGAGCCAGAAACTTTGTCTAAAAGGTCTCTAATCCAGAAAAGGCCTTTGTCTTTTCAGTCAAGCGAAAGACTTGAAAGTACATTTGGAGTATATAGGAAGGATGTCAGACTAGAAACCTCCGAAGACAAATATGGGAGAATTTATGTTTGACCCATAGATCTTGAAGGGAGACCACAGACATGAGTAAAGTAGTGTTCGGTAAGTGTACTGCTTTCGTCCAAAGAAGCGTATTTAGATGTGTAGGAAAAAGCCAAAGTTGCTCTATCTCCCAACATCTTGTCAATGGATGACAAGAACACCAATAGGGTATGTTCCGCAGATGAGCAGCGACATAATAGTATAAGCTCAGTACACTCTTTTTTTTTTACCTGAGCGCACATCTAGAAAGGTTTTAAAATACAGGAAAATATCAGGGAAAAGTAAATTTTGCTAAGGGTATTTTGTTGCCAATATAGTGTCTTGAACCAGGTAGAGCAAGGCCTCATGCATATGGAGGTCTGGGGATTCCTGCGGAACTTGTGGATTCTTGCATGAGGTATCCCTGGTGTGTCCGTACAGATATGGCTGCTGTACGGACACACCAAGTTAATGACAGGCTGACAGTGGCCGCATCTGTCCATGGTTGTCCACATGTAATCATATATGGTACGATTACCTGCGAAGGGGAGTGATGCTTGTCCTGGCATGCAGAGATCTTGATATCTGATTCAAAGGACCTTATGCCCCCAAAGACACTTCTGTAATCATGAAAAAATCAGTTTTCAAGTTGATAGCTAAGTAGTCATAGCAGAAACTTAGACATGCTCTTCATAGCACCACAAACTGTACAAATTCATCTTGGCAAGTGCTATGCACTGCAGTATCACTATAAATATTTTTTTTAATCTCAAACAAGAAATATGGAACCCAACACTACAATATACTATACAAGAGTGAAGGGGAATTACGGGTGGCTAGAATGCAACAATACAACAGCAATATTGTTTTAAAGGGAACATGTCTTTTATATGCAGTGTGTTTATAAATAATTATAGATATTGTCTACCATGATCGTATAACTTATTTTTAAAATCCGATTAAAGGGCTCCATTTTAAACAGTTATCTCCTGCTTGAGAAATATCTTATGAACTTACTAATTGCATGCAAAGCAATGGACTCTGGAGAACGGAAAAGAGGAGGGGCAGGCATACCCAGAAATACAAAGCACCTCTTGGTAATGAATTTGAAAACATATGGATAGGGCTCCAAAGAAGGTGGACTTTGCAGTTTAAGCTTTTGGCAAAGACAACACAAAGACTTGTTAAAGTGACACTTAACTTAGGAGTTAAATCTTACAAATGCATTCAAGTTCCTTAACTATTAACAAAATGTATCTTATTTGTGTATCACTCGGTTGTAGATCCTCAAATCATCTCTGAATTCATGCTGACACTGTCCTTCCTTCTGGAGGGTGCCTACTTTTGTTGCCCATGGTCCCTGTGTGTGTTGTGAAGTAGCCACCACTTCAAGCTCACTCCTGTGATGGACTAGAATTTGACGTTTAGTTTACTAATTTGTAAACTGTTGCAAGTTGTGCCATTTGTTGCATGGACGGCAGACAGATTTCTAATGAATGTCTATAACACTCTTTTTGAATTCCAGAGAGCGTGTCCTACAGCCTTCTATATCAGAAATTAGGGATGCAACGATACCAAGTACCGTACTCGGTACAAATATAAGTACAAATACGAGCTCCAAGACTAGACTAGAGAAAAATTCAAAAGTTAGGAGGCAGCTGTCATTTGTAAGGAGCACACAGAGTTCCTGGGATTTGTACATCTCTGTTTTATTGTATGATTTTGTTTTGCAAGTACAAGTACTGATTCTTGCCCAAGTACTTAGACACAAGTACTGATACATTTTTGCTTATTGTCATGTGGCAGTTTTTCTAAAACAATATCCACTAATGATTTCAGGACAGTGGTGGGGTGCCAGAGCTAGGTCCCAGCTGCAACCGCTGCAACCCCGGTAGTTCGCATGCAAATGCCAAGTATCGGTACTGGTATCGGTGCATCCATACCGGAAATGTTATGTACTAAAGAAAATTTTAAAAAATAACACTACTGCATTACAACTACTGACCAGCAAGGGGCACTGTGCAAGATGTGTATATATTAACATATGTTTCCAGAATGATTTTATTGTATGATGTTTGTATACATCTTATATTTGTCTATGCGAATAATAGAAGGTGTTTAGATGATAACAGTCAAAAGATATACTCACTCTAGGTTTATTATGTAGCAAGAGCAAATGCATACTATGGCTGTTCTGCATACTTTTAACTACTTGCTTTATTTTGATCCCTCTCATGATCAATGTTTTTTCCTTCTCTGTATGTTCTGTCTTCCCTTTGCACCCTTCAGGTAAATGGCGACTCTTCCAGTTCTCTACAAGCTCAGAGAGAGGCTTTAACCAAGATGTCATTGCAGCTGAGCAGCACAGAATATTCGGAGAATACTCATCACTCTGACCTGGTTCCTTTGAAAAGTAGCATGAGATGTGACAGGTGAGGACATTTCTATGTATTTTCACTTCAACGCATGCAAGGAACATCCTCAGAATACAGATGACTAGCACCCGGCACTGCAGGAATAAGTTACCCATATGAGATGAAGAAACTTTTCGTTTTGGAAAAGTGTAATAAAGTGTGCTCAAGATACATATGTGGTGCTGTTCATATGACATGTTTCCATATGTCTTTAGACATTTTGGGTGGTTTTTTTATTCATTGGGAAGTAGCAGGCTTTGTCTCTGTTAATGCCTTTTATAGTGATGCTTTTTAAATTGGCATGTAGTATTATACTCAGATAACATTATGTGCCTATAAATAATAGTAATATACATAATTTTGCCATTCAATTCCCTATTGTAAAATAAACACAAGGGATGATTCGCTGAAGCATAACACATGGAAAAAGTTATGTTGCATCACTTACTAAACTTTATTTACAAAAATTATGTTTGCGGTTTACTAAATGTATGAATCCCCTCAATATACTGAAAACAGGGCTGGATTTCTACATAGCGAACATAGCTATGGCCAAAGGTAACAGAGCTTATAAGGGGGGCACACTGCCATCATGTTGCTGTTATTAAGATATTACTGTATTTAATAGAGTCCAGTTAGTGCAATCTAGTTGTGTTGCTTTCTATTGAGCTTCATTGTTGGTGGAATAATGTCCTGTGTACTTACAGTTACCCTCTCTGGGTTTGTATCCACAGAACCAAGCTGCCAGCAGAGAAGGGTTACAGTTTAGTGGAAAGCAGGAATCGCCAGCACTCAGTAAATAGTGTTCAGATAATAAACGTCCATTTAATAGGACCAGTTGTCACACATAACGAAATACCAACGTTTCGGGGCCGCACAGTGTGCCTTCATCAGGGCAGTGATGTGATTCCTGCTTTCCACTGTTTATGTGCACGGCGCCATCCGTGATTATCACTGCGAGCACCACCATTGTTATTCGGGCCGGGAACGCTGTAAGGAGTGCAGAGGAACCTACTGTTTTCTGGGTTACAGTTTAGATCACTCTTCTAACGATCTTTTTCAGGTTTACTTATGTAAAATAGGCAAATTGTGTTTCAGCCTCTCTCCACCACCAGCACCAATGTACCTTGTGTGACTATGAGGACTTAACTTGAAAGGAAAGAAGGAAGGGGGGGGGGGGCAGAAAATATTAATACCATTTATATTATCAATGTTTGCAGTATTTTTTGTAAAAACTAATTCACAAACATGATTGCAATAATGATGAAGTACTGTAAGGTGTTTGTGAGGGGAGAGAAGAATTGCAATGAAAATACAGCAATGTAGGAGAAATTGTAGCTTTGAGTGGCTATTTTGTGATTGCACGCCTAGGCGGTATATATGTATGTGAAGTGAAAATTCACATCATGAGATACAATAAAATAATTAATTCGTCTTAGTGAACTGACCCTTGTGCAGGGCTATAAGTAAACACCTGTCATGGAAAAAATGAGGCAATATAGAGATACTGTTACACATCTGCCATCCTTGTGTATACAGTATGTTGCCAAGAAAAAAACTATTACACTGAACTTCATGTGACTATTTAGAGATGCATTTAGAGTCTGTAGTGTATGTTGGTCAATTCCTGTAGTGTCCAGTAAGGTATTTAAAAGTACAATGTATATACAATATGCCAGTCAGGGCCGGATCAAAAGCATCATGGGCATGGTGCTGTTTGTTGGTTGAATGGGAAGCAGGAAAGACGGCTCTATAATTATGTTGCCACTCTCTCCTACGTGATCGCCTTATATGCCTGATTAGAGAGCCGGCGGTGCCTCTGCCTGTCATAGAGAGGGTGTATGGGAGAGCAAATTGGAGAATGTACTGGAGAATATATTGGAGAATATACTGGAGACTATACTGGAGTGTATATTGGTGAGTATATTTGAGTATACACTGGAGAATACTGTATATTGGAGATTATACTGGGGTGTATATTGGAGAGAATACTGAGTATACTGGGGAGTATATTGGAGAATACACCAGAAAATATATAGCAGAATACTGTATATTAGAAAGGATATGTAAGAAGCCAGCAGCTGACTCCTATGACATCCTATGAATCCTATGACATGGCCCATTGACACTATTGCGTTGCATTAGCACATGCGCTTTAATGTGAGTTGCATAAAAAAACCTCTATTGTTTGAATGGGCTACATAACACACTGCTTCACACCAGTATGTGCAACACATTATTGCAACACAGTAGAATTAATAGGCCCTTAGCTGTCATAATGGCAATGGGAGAAAGGAACAATGTTCATCCAATAGTTTAGTTAAAAGTTAGTGTAATGCTTACAAGATCTGCTTTTTAAGTGGGCCCCTTTCTCCTTGTTAAAAGAATGTATAAGGAGATATTACATTATCCTCCTCCCAAGGAGAGGGATCGCTGTACAGGCTCCTATGTTCCTCCGCCCACCTCTGCTGATATTAGCTGGGAGGGAGAGTGCAGCACCGTCATTGGCTGCCTGGGTATTTGTCAGCAGAGCGGAAAGGGACCTTCAGACTGCAGAGGAGGCACAACAAGCCTGCTTGGGGCTGCACATGGATGGAGGAGACATTGATGCTCACCCCTCCCCCACCACCACCTGGAGAGGAAGAAGAGGGCATGAGGACAGAGCACATCACCACTGTAAGTCCCTTTTCTATCTTACATCACTGACCTTCCCACTGCGTCACCTTACTGACCTCCGCACTGCGTCACCTTGCTGACCTCCGATGTTACATTACATAACAGGTCTTCTTTGAATAATAACTGTAAAAGCATTTCAGTGATAAGTGTCTATTCCTTCTTACAGTGTGCAGGAAGTGGAATCAGAATGTACAGAGTTCTGGGACTGGCTGCTGGACATGGAAGCCACGGTGCAGAATAGTCTTGGGTTGCTGGTGTCTGAAGAGCAGCATCTGCAGATGTGCAAGGTAATTTCAATTTACTTAAAGTGGTTCTAAAGCCTCCGTTTCTTTTTTGCCTATATCTGAGAAAATGAAACTGCTCCAGCGGCCGCAAAGCATCTTGGGCGGGCGCATGCGCAGTTCGAATTCTCGGCCGAGAGACGGCAGAGACGCAAGGTAAGTCCATGGACGTGTGCACCCGCATGCAGACACCGTGGGATTCCTCCGCCGCATCGCTGGAGGAACAGATGAAAACATCAGGAAAGAAGAGGAAGATCGGATTAAGAGACATCATTTAAGGTAAGTGCTGACTTTAACATTGGGGGGAGGGGAAAAAAATACTTTAACCTCTTGCCGTCCGCCCGTAGTAAAAAAACGGACGGACGGCACTGCAGCATCTGCGGGTTGCCGTCTAGACATGTGTTCCTACATAACATAATTGGCCATAGTGCGATAATACACTTGCTGGGGAACTAAAAGTCCTTCCAGCCCCTAAGCTATAATTTCGGCACAACTGACAGGATTCATACTGTCAATGAAGCTGTTAAAGAGAAGCTTTGATTGCCTGATTTTAAAGAAAGTACATGTTAACATTCAGCCGCATAGGCATGCACAGCCTATTGCATTAGAATGTGCACACAAAAGTACAAACACACATATATATATATATATATATATATACACACACACATATACACATACATA